TAATATATAATATATTATGACACACATATATGTTATAGATATACAATGACACACACACATATATATATATAGAGAGAGAGAGAGAGAGAGAAAGAGGTCAATTCATCAATAAAATATAGCAATTGTAAATATATATGCACCTAACAGTGGTGCACCCAGCTATATAATGCAAATATTATTAGATCTAAAGGGAGAGATAGATCTCAATACAATAATAGCTGGGGACTACAATACCCCACTGTCAGCATTGGATAGATCACCTAGGCATAAAATCAGCAAAGAAACATTGGATTCAAACTGTACTATAAACCAAATGGACCTAACAGACATTTACAGACCATTCCATGTAATAGCTACAGAATATGTGTTCTTCTCATTAGCACATGGAACATTCCCCAGGATAGATAATATGTTAGGCCACAAAACAAGTCTCAACAAATTTTTAAAAATCAAAATCATATGAAATATATTTTCTTACCACAATGGAATAAAACTAGAAATCAACATCAAGTGGAACTTTGGAAACTGAACAATTACATGTAAATTAAACAACATGCTCCAAAACAACCAAAGGGTAAATTAAGAAATTAAGAAGTACTTTAAAAATTTTCTTGAAACAAATGAAAATATAAACATATCAAATCCTATGCAATACAGCAAAAGCAGTAGTAAGAAGAAAGTTTATAGCAATAAACACCTACATCAGAAAAGTAGAAAGATTTCAAATAAACAACCTAATGATGCACTTCAGGGAACTAGAAAAGCAAGAATAAGCCAAACCCAAAATTAGAAGAAGGAAAGAAATAATAAAGATCAGAACAGAAATAGAGATTAAAACAACAATACAAAAGATCAAGGAAACAAAAAGTTGGTTTTTTGAAAAGATAAACAGAATTGGCAAACCGTTAGCTAAACTAAGAAAAAAAGAACCAAATAAATAAAATCCAAAGTGAAAAAATGAAACATTACAACTGATACCACAAAAAAGAAATATTACAGCTGATACTTCAGAAATACAAAGGATTATTGGAGTATTATGCACAATTATATGCCAAAAAATTCAAAAACCTAGAAGAAATGGATACATTCCTGGGCACATACAAGCTACCAAGATTGAACCAGGAAGAAATGGAAAACTTGAACAGAACAATTCAGTAATGAAACTGAATCAGTAATAAAGTCTCCCAACAAAGAAAAGCCCAGGACCAAATGACTTTGCTGATGAATTCTACCAAACCTTAAAAGAAGAATTAACACCAATTCTTCTCAAACCGTTTCAGAAAATGGAAGGGAATTTTTTCAAACTCATTCCATAAGGCCAGCATTACACTGATACCAAAACCAGACAAGGATGCAAGAAAATAAAGAAAACTACAGGCCAATATCCCTGATGAACACAGATGCAAAAACTCTCAATGAAATACTAGCAAACTGAATGCTACAGCACATCAAAAAGATTATACACCATAATCGAGTGGGATTTATCTCAAGGATGCAAGGATGGTTCAACATATACAAATCAATAAATGCAGTATATCACATCAACAGAATGAAGGACAGAAACTATGTAATAATAGATACAGAAAAAACATTTTATAAAATTCAACATCACTTCATGATAAAAACTCTCAACAAATTAGAAGGAATTTAACTCAACACAATAAAGGGCTTAAATGACAAAACCACAGTTAAATGATACTAAATAAGGAAAAGTTGGAAGCTTCTTCTCTAAGAACTGGAACAAGACAATGATGTCCACTTTCTCAACTCTTATTTAACATAGTACTAGAAGTTCTAGCCAGTACTATTTGGCAAGAGAAAGAAATGTGGCTAGTTCCAATTATGATGTGCTGTAAGTGTAACATATACACTAGATTTCCAATACTTTCTACAAGAAAAGAATGCAAAATATCTTATTAATAAATTTTATTTTGATTAATTGATTACATATTGAATTAGTTTGCTAGAGATGCCATAACAAATTATCATAGACTAGGTGGGTTAAGCAAGATAAATGTATTTTTCACAATTCTAGAAGGTAGAAGTCTGAGATCAAGGTGTCGTCAGGTTGATTTCTTCTGAGACCTCTCTTCTTGGTTCATGTCATCACATGATCTTCCCTCTGTGTGTGCCCATGTCCATTTTGCCTCTTGTTATAAGAACACCAGTTATATTGGATTGGGGCCCATCCTAATGAACCCACTTTAACTTAATTACTTCTTTTGAAACCCCATCTCTCAATATAGTCACATTTCTGTAGTACTGCTGGTTAGGGCTTCAACATGAATTTTGTGGGGGACACAACTCAACTCATAATACCTGTCAAAATAATAATGTTTTGGACCTATTTGATTAAAAAAGGCAGTATTAAGGTAAATTTCAACACTTCATTGTTACGTTTTAAAATATGGCTACTAGAAATGTGGCTTGCATTATATTTCAATTGGACAGTACTGGATTTTATTTATTTGGGACACCAAAACACTGTATCATCACCTGCTGAAAAAATAAGAAAAAGTTCTCATTTTAAATAACTTGCCATTTTCTACTATATTTCCCTTTTAGTACTAAGTTTTATTTTGGTGTTGCTAATAAGCAAAAGCAGTGAGATGATATATAAAGAAGATGAAATGTGCACAAAGAAAATTAGACCGGAGTACTATTTGGATCTTACTACCTTTATGATCTCAGGCACAGCCCTTACCCTTTCTTTAATTTCTTCTTTCTACAAAAGAGAGGATAACAGCTGACATTTGTTGAGTGATTATTTTGTGCCAGGTACTCTTCTGAATTTCTACACTAGTAATTTATTTAATCCATACAACAACCCTTTGAATATTTTAGGTAGTAGTATTACTCTATTTGAGAGAAAACTGAAGCACACAGAGATTAATTAACCTGCTCAAGACTCCAGAGTTTAGTAAGTGATAGAAGCAACTGGTCTAACTCCATACCACATCATTTATTTCCCCCTGTACTTGTGTCTCAAAAGATTGTTGTGAGGATCTACTGAGATGGTATATGTGAAGGCATTTGAAAACTGATGACTGTTAATTATTTTCTTTGTCTGCCTTCCTAGGAACATTTCAGATAAAGCTATTATTTTTCTCTTTTGACCAGGAAATCTATATATCTTTCTTGACAGCCTGGTAATTTCAGAACGAATAGAAGTGTTTGTATCTGTGGGTTTGACACACTACTGAATCACAAAGTCTCTGGAATAATTCTCAAAGCCATCACTTTCAGCCCACTTTCTCATTCATTAATGCTCTATTCTTTTTCTAGCATGTCTAGAATTCTCTTGAATTCTTGCAGAGAATTGGTGCTCCTTTAATACCTGCTATTTCAGAATAGCTTTGACTTAAATATGCTTTCCTTTTCTCCCAGTTGCAAAATGTCAGGGCTGACAGCCAAAAGGGCTTCTGAAGATTGTCAGTGTTCTCATATTCAGATAGGTAGCAAAGGATCTGACACATTTGGTACAATAAACCCACAAATGTTCATTAGTAAGCTTGTAGCCTGATTTATTTCTCTGATTTAGAAAACACTCCTAAAGAAGGAGAGTTTGTCTGCAAGGAACCTTCTGAATTCTTTTTTTAATTCAAGCTCGTATTTATAAATTTTGTAAACTCAGATGTCGCTTATGTCATTTACATCATTTATCTCAAATAATAAAAATGATTCACTTTTTTTGAGCACTACTATATGTCTGACACTGTGGTAAGTGCCATTTCTGTATTCTCATTTGGTGATATCACATCTGCTCTGCCCTATAAAATGTATAATGTGTGTATATTACCTTCACTTATAAGCACAGAAATTAAGGCTTAGAGAGGTTGAGTAACTTCTTAACTAACTTCACTAAAGTCACAAAGCTAATTAGTGACAGAGTCAAGATATAAACATAGGTCATCTAATTCCATAGTTCATACTCTTGATCACTATTCCACATTTCCCTCAAACCAAAGTGGATTGAGCATTTGGGGTATTCTCTCTAAGTCAGGTGGATATTTTTAAAACTTATATTTGATGAATGCTGCAAATAGGTGTATGATCCAGTTTTTCTTTTAGCTTCTGTGATTTGGTAATTCTCCTACAGATGGTAGAATATGGTATTCACAATAATATGAAAAATATAATTAAATTTGACAAGAATTCTATTAAAATAGCAAGATTTACCATCCAGAATTATTTCATTTATTTTTAATTCCTCTTTTATCTTAATCAAACATACCACCTTGATGTTATGTGAAGCTATCTTATATGCTACTTTAAGCTGTATGCATTCATTTATGAAACCTCTAAAACTATGTATCATGCCCTTTCTATTTTATGTATATTGCCAGGTAGTTTATAAGTGATTAAAGAATATTGCTAGGAAGTATATTAAATTAGATAGATAATGTTACCATATCACTTTTGATTCATTTGGCCCCCAATGTAGTATGAAATCTTATAATTAATTTTTTTTTTTTTTTTGGAGACAGAGTCTTGCTTTGTCACCCAGGCTGAAGTGCGGGGTGTGATCTCGGCTTACTGCAATCTCTGCCTCCCAGGCTCAAGTGATCCTCCTACCTCTGCCTTCTGAATATCTGGAACTATAGGCATGCACTAGTATGCCTGACTAATTTTTAAACTTTTTGTAGAGACCAGGTTTCATCATATTGCCCAGGCTGGTCTCAAATTAATGAGCTCAAGTGATCTATTCACCTTGGCTTCCCAAAATGTTACGATTACAGGCATAAGCCACCACGCCCAGCCTGTGATGAGATTTTTAGGAAACACCTTTTTATCAAATAGTTCATTTAACTAAAACGCCTTTAATTCAGAAGGCATTATATCTATTCTAAAAGTGTTTATATGGATTAAGTAGACGTAAACAATTGGTAGAGGAAAAAACATAGTACTCACTAACAATAGTATTTGTAGAAATTTTGAAGCCATGGTTAAAAAAAAAGAGAAATTTGAGGGAAAATGTAAATACATGCAGTAATAATGCTTTCTTAGCAAATTTCACATCTTTAATCTACTGTCACCTTATTGCTTTGTAAAGAAACATCTTGATCCCAGTCGTAAAAGTTACTTAGACTTATAAACTCATTAATGTTTACTAGTAGTTGCAATCTGATTTCTTTAAAAATAGTCTAAGGAAAAAAGCTTTTAAAAACCAACATCAGCTTTATCTCTTATACCTCACGTAATACTTACAAACCTTATTAATAAAGCACTCAGGACAATCTGATACACTATAAAATTTAAAATAATACAGAATTGTTTCAAATAATAATTGCATCCTTCTATAAAATTTGCTTAGAATAGTTTTAATTTTTATTATAAATGCAGCCATAGTTGTTGATCTTTAAGCAATCTTGGCTCTCTTAGTTTTTGCCACTTTATAAGAAGTAGACAAATCTGATAGCCAACGTAAATATCAGAATTAGGGTGAAGCAAAGATAGTTTTGTGTTTTTGTACTTTACATCCTCCAGATTGTCAAACAGGCAACATACACACATACTCAATTTCAGAAGAATGAGAGAGAGAAGTAACAAAAGAAAAAAACCTGCAGACCCAATGATTATTACTCCAAGAATATAGATCTTTGTTTAAGCAATCTTCCTCTGAATGTCAGTAGTTGCAGAAGTCTCCGTATATTTTTATCATCTTCATAAAGTTATTTTTCTGTAAACTAAAGATTTGCCTAAATTGAGATAAGCTCCTTTAAACTTTAATTTATTTCTTAATTGGTTATGAGTATTTACAGTGACAGAAGTAGTTCTGGTTTTGGCAACTTTGGAAGTAGCTCCCCAACTTTGGGACATGTACGTGTTGTCTGTATGATGACTCAGCTGTGGTCTGGTGCTATTATCACTTACGTTCTATCTTTGAATATTGGAAACAAGAAATTTGCAACAGCCCAACCTAGCAAATTTCTTCTGATTTTGCTTTCATCTTTCCTTTTAACAAAAATTAACTTAAATTTCCTAAAACAGTCTTCAGGTCTTTTTTTTATCTTGATCATCTATGAAGGCTCTTGGGCCCTGGGAATGTCTGAGAAGGTGCACTCAGTAATTCATGTGTAGGAATAGTTGAAAAAGTTATCTTCAGGCCTTTTGGGAGTTCTGTAGTTGGATGTAGGTGACAGCTTTATCAACTACAGTATTCAGTGAACCTCAGGGAAGTTTAAAACCCCTGATGATAGCTGCTCTTTTAATGGCTTCATTTTTCTTCTGTACTCCAGAAAGAAATGATTCTATTCACAGAATTTTACAGTTGTATGTGGTTTTTTTGGTTGCTTTAATGCATTGCATTATTTTTTACTAAGAAGTTTTTACATGTGAAGCAAGTATAATTGTATTTAAACTGAACTTTGATTTTCTGCCTCATAATATAAAGAAAAGGGCGCCGGGCGCGGTGGCTCA